GGAGAGGAGTTGTACTGCTATGTTACCACCAGCTACTGAAGACAGTTCAGCATTACTTTCTTCTTCTCCTCGAGATGGGACTGGTTTGTCACTACCTCTTTCCCATTCTTCAGGGAAGGATACTGTGTTCTGTGATTACTGTCGCAAGTCGCGGCATACTCATGAGTTGTGTTGGAAGTTTTATGGGGCTCTATTAGGGAGTCTGGTGATTGGTCTGGTACTAGAGGCTGTCGATTAGGCCAGTCTAGAGGACGTGGCTCTAATGTACGGGCCCATTAGTCTAGTGTCGTTGACCCCCTTGATTCTACTTCCGTTTTAGTTGGTCTGACTTCTGATAGTTTATCTAGCATGACTTCTCCTGAGCTTGAGGATGTTCTGCGTCATTTGTTGGGCCGTCGGTCTTCTACTGCTCCCAGTGTATCTTCCTTGTCGTTTGCCCGCTTAGGTAACTCAGCCTCTTCTCCTGATGCTTTTCATTCCCATAAGTCTTTGTCATGGATTATCGATTCTGGTGCCTCAGATCATATGTCTGGGTCTTCTGACATTTTCTCAGCATATAAGCCCTCTTTAGGTTAAGATAAAGTTAGGATTGCAAATGGTACTGTTTCTTCTATCTATGGGAAAGGTTTAATTCATGTCACCCCTACCTTACCTCTGTCTTCAGTGCTCCACGTTCTTTATTTTTCTGTTAATCTTCTATCCTTGAGTCGTATTACTAAGGATTTAAACTGTAGTGTGACATTTTTTTCTTGATCATTGTCTTTTTTAGGACATCGTCATGAGGAGGACGATTGGCAGTGGTAGTGCAGAAAATGGTCTCTATTTCTTGGATCAGCCGAACAAGCTTGCTCATCATTCCATCCAGTTCCCAACCACCAAGGAGGATTTATAGCTATGGCATCAGCGTCTTGGACATCTTTTTTTTCATTTACTTAGGCATTTATTTCTGTCAATTTTTACAGACAATAATGTGTCTGAGTTTCTTTGTGAGTCTTGTCAACTTGGGAAACAACATCGAGCTTCTTTTGCTCAAAGTCTTAATAAAAGTTTAGCTCCTTTTTCTTTATGGGATCCATCTCGTGTTATGTTTTTAAAAGGCTATAGATGATTTGTTACCTTTATTGATGAATTTTCTCATATTACTTCGGTGTATCTCATGAAAGAAAAAAAGTGAGGATTTCTCTGTGTTTTAAAATTTTCATAAAATGATTTGTACTAAGTTTGGGGCAATTGTCAAAATTTTGCGTTCTGATAATGAGGGTGAATATATCGATTCGAGGTTAGAGAGTTATTTTTCCACTCATGGCATTATACATCAGACATCTTGGACCCAATACCCCTCAACAAAATAGGGTTACAGAACACAAAAAATCGTCATCTTCTTGATATGGCTCACTGCATGTGTTTTTCTATGAGTGTGCCTCAGTCCTACTGGGGCGAGGCCGTTCTCACCGCAACCTATCTCATTAATTGTCTTGCTACCTAGGTTTTGCAAAAATAAGCTCTACTTCAAGTCCTTCTCGATTCAGAGTCTTTGTTTCCGTTTCCCCTAAAATATTTGGCTGTGTCTGTTTTGTCTACAATCATTCTCCTACTCATGGTAACTTGGACCCTTGCTCTCTCAAGTGTGTTTTCTTCGGATACTCGCCTACTTAAAAAGGGTATAAGTGTTGTCACCCTCCTTCTTGTTAGTAGTTTGTGTCCATGAATGTCACATTCTTTGAGTCCTAGTCCTACTTCTTGTTCTCTCCGGTGTTACAGTCATCCTTTCAGGGGAAGCCTTGGTGTGAAGAGATTCCTGTTGTCCCTGTTGCTCTTATGGTGAAACCATTTGTTCCTGCACCACCTATTACTGGGACTATAGAATCCAATGCTACCAAGGATAGGGAAGAGCAAGTTTATGTCAGGGACAAAGACAGACAGAAAGTTATTTGGATACAAAAGACCACTTTTGCTCACCCACTGCTATCTCCTGCTTTTGATAAGAGTCCAGGTAACTTTGTACCTTTTGTTTCTCTGGAGTCTATTGATATTGCTATTCTTGACACTACTGATCTAGATATTCCTATTGCCAAGAGAAAAGGTGTGAGATCGTGTACTCAACATCCTGTTTCAAATTTTGTGTCCGACTTTCATTTGTCTTCCTCTTATAGAGCCTTTGTGTCAAACATTCCTAACCATTTTCAGGATGCTTTGGCTACCTTTGAATGGAAACTTGCCATGATTGAGGAAATGAAAGCAATTCGTAAGAATGACACTTGGGAATTAATTGAGTTACCAAAGGGCAAACGACCGGTGGGATGCAAATGGGTGTATACTGTGAAGCTCAAAGCAAATGGTTCCATTGACCGTTATAAGGCTCGATTTATGGCAAAAGGCTTCACTCGGACTTACGGAGTAGATTATCAGGAAACTTTTGCACCAGTGGCTAAGATGAATTTAGTTAGAATACTTTTCTCTTTAGCAGCTAATTTAGATTGGCCACTTTATCAGTTTGATATAAAGAATGCTTTCTTACATGGTGAGCTAGAAGAAGAGGTACATATGGACATTCCTTCTTGTTTTGAGGATCATTGACAGAGAGTAAAGTATGCAGGCTTCAGAAGTCGTTATATGGTATTAAACAGTCTCCAAGGGCTTGGTTTGAAAGATTCACTCAGGCTATACTTAAACATGGTTTCAAATAGAGTTAGATATATCACACTTTCTTTGTGAAATATTCCTCACGTGGTAAGACTACAACTCTCATTTTTTAGGTGGATGACATAGTGCTTATAGGCGATGATAGTGAGGAAATATCCCTGTTGAAGAAATATTTAGCTAGTGAGTTTGAAATCGAAGACATGGGGAACTTAAAATGTTTTCTGGGAATCAAAGTTGCTTGTTCCAACGATGGGATTTTCTTCTCACAAAGAAAATATGTTCTTAACCTTTTGAAGGAAATAGGGATGCTTGGATGTAAGGCTTATGATACCCCACTGGAATTTAATCTGAAAGTTGGTGATGGTGAAGGGGAAGTAGCTGTTGATAGGGGGAGTTATCAGGGACTAGTGGGTAAGCTCATTTACTTATCTTACTCTCGTCCTCATATTGCTATTGTTGTTAGTATGGTTGGTGAGTTTATGCATACTCTTCATCAAATTCACTTAGAGGCTGTTATGAGAATTCTGAGGTACTTAAAATCTTCTTCTGTAAAGGGCCTTTACTTTTCCAAACATGATCACCTTAGAGTGGGAGCCTACACAGATGCTGATTGGGCAGGGTCAATAACTGATAAGAGATCTACATCAGGATATTATTGTACCTTTGTGGGCGGCAATCTTGTTACTTGGAGGAGTAAGAAATAATATTGGTAGATATATATAAATACTCCATACAGTATAATCACAAACACACATTTGAAGTTGTGTTGTGGTATCGAAGTTACAAGTTTTCATGTCTGACATTATACCTATTTGAGGCTACAACACCCAAATCCTTGTTGATAGATAAAAATTCACAAACAAAAATGTGTTGCTGACATAAGCTGCCTAGCTTGAGAAATCCAAATCAAAGTACATTTTTCTCTCAATTCCGAAACAAGAACCCATAGGAAACAAAAGCTAATAAAAGGGCAAACAAAGTTGAAATCATATTCAATGCATAACCTTCTGCCTAACAGTGAAATAGTTGACAGTCAACTTCAATGCCAGACCAAAATGTAAAAAGCACTAATTTTTTTAATCAACCAAACATGCAAATAAATATGTTGATGGAATGATCATTTCATTTCACTCCATTTTAGTGAACCGAACACCATCGTAAATCCTTAGATTTTTGCGAAAGTATAGAATCCAATGAATTACTGTTCAATTTAAAGGTCAGTTGTTCCCTTCTTACCTACATGTATTTTTTTCCCCCCATAAATGACTACTGGGGAAGGAAAAAAATATTTTAAGCATTGCACTGTATAAATAGCAACTGAAAAGCCAATCTTTAGAGAAATTAATGAAGTCATTGCATATTGGTTACTACCATGATTGAAAATTCAAATTAACTTGACTTCGATACATGCCAAAAAAAGGAATCGTAGGAAGTTTATCAGTTGAGAGTAAAAAAAGAAGAAGAAAAAAAAATTGCATATCAATATGTCTCTTACTATCATGTTGTGTATTTGATGAACTATGTACAATCTATGTCCCAACAACTTAGAATATCACTTTACAAACTAGTTTTATGTTCTTGAATACATTACAATCTAGGAGGCACAGGTGCAGGTACAAATAAGTTATGGGTGTGTTGATATAGCGAAACCTAAAAAAAGTAGTAGTAAATGATATATAACAATTAAAAAATTAAAGCATATAAACTATTTTGGTAATGGTCAAAAAGAACCCCAAGTATTTTTTATAATTGCAAAATTATCCTATATTTTTAAAATTTTAAAAAATAGGCACAAAATAATTGTTATAGTACCCTTATATTTTTAAAAAATTACATTCATGCCTCAACATACTCACAAAGTACTTGAAACGTACCCATCATGCACCCGAGCCGTACCCATGTCGTACACAGTATTTTGCAGAGTTTACTAGGTAAGTACCTAATACTCATAGGACAATATTTTTGGATTACTCATGCTTCATAGATTACAATACATACATATTTTATGTCAAGCTTTAGAAAATTCCAATTCCAATTCACTTCACAATCAAAAGAACTGTGTAATAACCAAAAAATAAGAATCATGCGACTATTTTGCCTATATCATTTTTACATAACAGTACTCCCAAATAAGGAAAATTAAACAATAAACCAATTTATCCTTTACTTATGGCATGAAAAACCATGAAAACTATATAAATTAGGATTTTTGTTTCAGAAAGCCAGTCCCAAGTCCAAATAAAGGAAGGGGGGCATGTGAGCAAACAAAATGAAGCAAATAACAAGGTTTGAATCATTTTTAAATTATGACACTAATGTTTAAAATAATACATAAATGTTGCAAAGAGAGATTTTACCGATGATTCTCTTGCAGGTTCTGCAGTTGTTGCCTAAGCATTGCTGCCTCCCTTTGCCAGAACTATCAAGTACAATAGGATAATTTACTGATATGGTTAGATACTTCTTGTCACCATGACTAAATTGAAACGATGACCTATAAGTTCTCAGTGTTCAGATAAGTGTACACAGCCTTTTCAGTTGTCATAAGTAGACTTAATCCTTACCATTGTGAGTTATCAAACCAATATCATAACTTCAAAACTTATGCAAAGCTATTCATACTATATTTTGTCGAAACATCATGTGCGTGTGGCTATGTGAGCATGCATGTGCATGGATGTAGAATTGAGGCGTGAGCTTTTATCTGAAATATTAATCATTTAAAATTATGAAATCATTTAGTAATGCTCTGAGATAATTATGATGATAGTTGTTTGACTGTTATATTATTATTATTTGCTTAATGATTGAGTATTGTATTTGAAATTTTCTTATAAGCAGCTATGGGAGCTGCATTTGCTAACCTATACGAGGTAGTAGGTAGTTGAGGAAAGCTGCTTATATGAGGTTAAGACTAGCAGCATTAGATTCAATACATAATTTTGATGTTCATTATTAAAAAAAAAAAAAAAAAAATATAATAGGTAGTTATGATGGTTTAATTCAATAAGATAAAAGAAAACCACTGATCTTTATTGGAATCCTTCATACTGGAGTGAAGTCTTTGAAGAGGTTGTAGTAGTTATAATCTCCAGGATAAACAACTATCAACGAGATTGATTATTTGAAATTTTCTTGTTGAAGGCTCCTACGATGGGTGATTCTCCCACTAAGGAACAATGATTCTGGGCTTACTACTTAGGAGTTGAAGTACTGCTGTTTTGTTGTAATATAATATTGTCTTCCAGTAACAGAATCTCAGATTACCTCAAGTTAACCAGTTAGGAGCTCTTAAGGATTCCAAAGTTCATTGTGTGAAGAATTGTTAATTATGTCAAACATGAGGCTCTTTGATTGGCATAATACCATCAGGGCTAGCCTTTAGATGATTTTACTTGTATTTTAGGTTTAAAAAGCCTGTTTGTCTTAATGTGAAAATTGGGAACTTCATGACTTGATTGTTGGTAGATTGGGGAATTGGGCATTGGATTCTAGGGCTTCCAATCGAATCTAGGTTTTTTTTAATCTAATATTATTTTATTTGTTTTTTTGGTTTCTGATTTTAATGTTCACTAAAGTGGCTGTTAATAGAGTTTGCTAATTTTTTCATGCAAATAACCTAAGAACTGTTGCATCGATGCTTGGATGTTGTTGTGATGAGCAAGTGTTTTTAGTCTAGTGAACTATTGATCAATTATAAAACTTTTTTTTTATTTATTTTTTCTCATATACAAGGCAACAAGTAGACTCAAGCCCTTGACATCAAGGATTTTTTTTGGCTTGACATCATGGTTCACCTAACCACACGATTAGTGGTAATAATAAGACATTTTTTAAATGAGCGACCATAACATTTGACATCCTAGGAGCAACCACGAATGCATGATTGTATGGAATTTGTATTATAGAAAACCTTCGTTTTGCAACTTCAACATCTTATATCCCTTCACTTTGAAGCCTTGTTACAGCACCATGATCATCCTCCAGTACATAATCTAGGGCATGTTTGTGGAAATTAGAATTTCCTTTTTAGGAGCAACCACGAATGCATGATTGTATGGAATTTGTATTATAGAAAACCTTCTTTTTGCAACTTCAACATCTTATATCCCTTCACTTTGAAGCCTTATTACATCACCATGATCATCCTTCAGTACATAATCTAGGGCATTTTTGTGGAAATAAGAATTTCCTTTGGATTATATAGTCGGTCTTCCTTTACTCTTTCCTTTGCTAATTTATAATGGTAATAACCATGGATTTAAAAGTCGACTGGCTTGTACCGTGTTGGTTGGTTTGAATTGGATTGGGCCCAGTTGGTTCGGATACACCCCGGTTTACTAATTAGAACAAAAATCGCATTTGAACCGGCTGGTTCACGATACTTGTTGGACTAAACCAGTTATTTTACTGGTTTTACATAGTATCAGACTAGTTTGACATATGTAGGTCATGTAGGTCGGTTGCTGTTGTATACAACAGAGCCATTGCTGTGCTCGATTCTATGATTTCCTAGCAACTTCTTGTTTTGAAATCTTGCATTTTTTGCGCAATTTCATCTATTCTCTCTATGTTTTGACTCAAATTGCATCCTCTTTAGATAATTCTACAGCAGGGTTGCTTGGTTTTCTTCATTTAAATCATGTTCGTATGAAGGGTTACTCAATGGATTGAGTCCCATTGGAGCACTGGAGCTTCATTATTGAAGGTAAAAAGATTGAGCAGTGGAACTTAATTGTCAGAGATGGCTGATCGGATTCCAGAATCCAGAGGAGTTGCAGACAAGAGTAAAAACAAATGAAGAAGAAAAACTCAGGTTGTGTTTGGTTACATTTTCAAATCAATTTTTGATATGAAAAATCCAAAAAACTTGTTTGGTTTACAATTTTTGAAAATTTGTTTTCAAAATTGTTCTCTCTCTCATCTCCCCTTCTCTCAAATCATACACATCAATCAATCAGTTTTTCGCTCTCCTCTCTTCTTCTCTCACATTCTACACATCAATCAATTAAATTTTCTCTCACACCCATCTATTCAACATAAAAAAAAGAAAAGAAATTATCCTAAAATTATTTTCAAAATATACAACCAAACAAGTTTTAAAATTGTGCAAACTCTTTTCAAAAAACTATCTTCAAAATTGATTCTCAAAATTAAACCAAATGGAGCCTTAGTGTTTTGGTATTGGAACCAAAAGAAAAAAAGAGTAATGTTGTGTTTGGTTGAGGGATTTGGGGACGGATTTGGAAAGAGAAAAGGAAAAAGTATGTGAAACTACGTGAAATGTAGGTATATTTTATTCACATTTCACCTAAATTTTCCCTTTCTCTTTCCAAATTCCTCCTTAAATCCCTCAACCAAACACAGCGTAAAGGTTATTATATATTGCAACCCTTCTACAAGTCAATGAGTCAACAAAAACATATGGGATGCTTTCAAAATATGAGATGTTGCCATTTGTTCAGTTGGCCAATTTTTATAATTCATTTATGCAAATGGAGTGTGATGTTATGGCAACATATTCATTCACTAAGTTTTAATTTTATTTTTGTTTGCATCTATTATTTATTTAAATTTTACTTAGTAAATTTATATAATTTTCTAATTTTATTAGTGTTAATAACTTAATTTTGTTATTAATTAATAATTGGGATTGCATTATAATCTTATAGTGGCAAATAATTAAATTAGAATTTTATTGGGTGGGAGTTTTGAGTTGAAATTGTTATTATTTATGAAAAAAATGTATTTTTTTGTTAATTTTTGAAAATTAGAATTGTTATTGCAGATAATTAAAAATTGATTCATTAGGTGCATTTCGTAACGCTGATAGTTTTTTGGTTTTTGTTATAGAAAACATTAAACATGCTTATGTTCAGTTTTGGTTAAAATAAAAACAAAAAACATGTTTGGTACGCACATGTATTTTAAAAACTTGTTTCGAAAACAAGTGAGAGGAGTGGTCTAACATGAGATCGTGGTCGATGGTCAGAGATGTCGGCTACATGTGGTTGTTGGCTGTTGGAGGTGGTTTCTGACAAGTGTTGGCTACCAGTCATGGGAGGTGGTGGTCAACGGTAATTGTTGACAGTTGGAGATGGTGGCCAAAGGAGGTCGGCAGCCGAAAGTGGTGGCTGAAGGTACTTGCTGCCAGTAAGAGGTGGTTTGTGACAATCGAAGGTGGTTGTTAGAGGAGGTTATTGGCAACGGTAGCCAAAGGGGGTGGGAGAAAATGAAAGGAACGCAAAACTTGTTTTTTTTTTTTTTTTTTTAAACAAGTGAAACCAACTTTTTCATTACAAAAAAATTTGGAAATGTTTACAAATTTTTGGAAATGAAACAGACATCAAATGAGTTTTTGATTATAATTTTCAAAATTTTTATAAATATAAATAGGTTATTGTAAACATATACATTACCAAACATGCCCTTAGCATTGTAAGTTATTTCATACTTGCAATGAGTTAAAAAGTTTCTACATATCAAAATATTGATAAAATGTAACAAATGGAACTTACGAGAGTCCAAAAATGTATATTGTTGGAGTTTTTTTAGGGGTTGCCAATGATTTAAAAAAAATTCACGATCAGTATCACTTGATTATCCTAATACCGATACACTGCAACCAATACTGTAGCAACCCAAGCAGTAGAAGAGAAAAAATACATACACAAAATTAAAACCCAGAAAAACCCAAAATACTCACATGGGTGTAAGCCCCACACTGGTGTGGTTTTCTTGTCTGACCCTTATCAATGTGCATATGCTAGTTATTTTTCTATGGTTTAATTTTGTGTTCCTAGAAGTGCTCATAGAAACAATAGCTGCCAACTTCGTGATGGACCTGGATGAAGTAGCAAGATCAAGCATGATATATGATGCAACTTTTGACCTGGAACTATCATCAGTTTGCAAGGCAACACTAAATAGAACAGCAGGTAGGAGTAATATTGCTCACTCATCTTGGTAAGGAACATTGCAGGATTCATAATTATTAAGCCATAGTACATTCACAATGTTTAGAATGTTTAGAACTTGAAGATTAGGTGCTTAAAATTCTGAAATGAATCCACTACAGTTGATGATTTTGATGGTGAAGATGCTATGTTACTGAGAAATATTTATCAACTAAAAGTGAAACAGGAGAAAGCTGGAGTTTAGTACGAATAGTGATCATTGGAACAATTTAAAGTGGTTGAAGTATTTTAAATTCTCTGTTAAAATGGAAATCATGAGCATGAGGTCAATTGTACAATGATTGGTGTGTGTGTGTTGGTGGGTCAATTGTTAGATGACAAACTTGACAAGATTTGTGGGTGATGTTCATCTCAGCTTTGGAACCTCCAATTCTAGGAGATTAAAATTTTATTTTTCAATCTTTTTACTGACCTATTTTTCCATTATTTCAAAGAGTTCTTCCCTTTCTGGATTCTGCAGCTTGAAATAGATTTAATTAGTTAGTTTGAATAATTCCTTCATCATCATTGATGACATTATTACCCACACTGTCAAACCCCTTGCTGCAGCCCTCTGTGGAAGCCTTCCTTGACCTCCTTATCTGTTGGAAACCCTCAGTTAAACCTCTCAACATCAAAGCCACACTCGAACTTTCCCTTTGTCACATATTGAAGCCTCTACCCAACTTGACATCAAAATCTCTAAAATTTTTGGCATTTTCTACCTCTTGGCATGACATGATCCAATAAAGAAAGGCTAAGCTTCATCAAACTAACTCATACATGTGACCAAGCTTAGTTTTTCTGGTCAAGAATCAAGATGACTTGGCTTGTTTAGAGTTTTAAATCTCTAAACTTTTTGGCATTTTCTACCTCTTAGCATGACATGACCCAATAAAGAAAGGCTAAGCTTCATCAAACTAACGCATACATGTGATCTAGCTTAGTTTTTCTGGTCAAGAATCAAGATGACTTGGCTTGTTTAGAGTTGTAAATTGTTATTTTTGAAAGCAATTCGTATTTTACAACTCCTGTTCTAGATTTTCAATCTGGAAATTGCAAAACCAAGGTTAACACTCAAACATTACAAATAAAATAACCACAAGTACAACAACTGTGTTGCTGATATAATATCATTCAAGTTCAGGATGTTTTAAAAGTAGGTCACAATAAATATCATAGACCCCAAAACTTATTAGATTCCTGAATACAATATGTTTAAGCCCCAGCCAGAAATCTTGTAAATTTGTATCTGCTTGGTCTCCAATCATGGTAAAAGCAGCATAAGCAAAGGCTTCGATTTCATGTCAAATATACTAGATAAAGATGTCCATCGTTGTTGTTTTGAAAGTAAATATATGTATATTTTGGGAGATTGATGCGGATGTGGCCCATAGGATTATGGCGAGATGGTGTAAGTGGAGAAGTGTGTCTGGGGTACTGTGCGATAAACGAATATCCACTAGACTTATAGAACGGCTATTAGACCAGCGATGTTGTATGGGACGGAGTGATGGACAACCAAAAAACAAAATGTAGATAAGATGAGTGTGGCTGAGATGAGGATGCTTAGATAGATGTGTGGCAAGACTAGACAAAACAGAATTAGGAATGAGTGTATTCGGGGAATGGGTAGGAGTAGCACCGATAGAATTTGAATTGAGAGAGAATCGATTGAGATGGTTTGGTCATATTCAACGGAGACTAACAGAGGCAACAGTGAAGAGATGCGATGCTGTAACGGTAGATGGAAGTATTAGGGGACGGGGTAGGCCTAGATTAACATTGGCTAGCGTTGTAAATAGAGATATGGATCTACTTAATTTGATTAATGAAATGACCTTGATAGGGCCGCTTGGAGAAAAAGAATTTATGTAACCAACCCCATTTGATGGGACTTAAGGTTTGGTTTGGTTATACTAACCATTATATCTATTGCACCTTATAGGCTTATAGGTTAGCCAAATATGGTATTTGAACCAACTGATGGAAATTGTGTACCTTTTATAAATTCTAATGTAAGCATGGGATGTATGACATCTATCTTCTAATTAGTGCATTATTGAATTATTTTCTAGAGTTTAATGTACTTTCAAGAATTAATATTTATAAACAATCACTATATCATTTTTTATAAACAAATTGAAAAATAAATTTGTGTTCTTAAAAAAGAAAGAGAAAAAAACATTTAGTCATTTCTACTTAATATTACCTATGGATTATGCTTTACGGACTCTTCAAAATAAATCAAATATCTGTATCATAGACACTCAGAAAAGGGTATGAGATATGTATCGGATACTTTTCAACGGACACTTCTTTTATAATTGTATAGAACATTATTATTGTATGTACATATTGTTGCATAATTGCTAGAAATGCCTTTTTGACACTGTAAGTTACATATAGCACTATTTTATCTCACATACTTGATTAAAAATATAAAAATATGATATTTTTTTACTGAGTTCGCGTATCCTTAAATTTATGGTTTGATGAGTCTGACCTCTAGATGCATACCCGCACCCGACTCTATGTAACATAGCCGATGGAATGGTCAAATTCATCATTGACACAAAAATGAACGATTTTGTGCCCAAATTTTTGTGGATACCCTTCTATGCTGACAATTATCTTATGTGGACTAGAAACTTGTGGGTTGTACTCAAGGTAAATGCAATGAAATGAAAAACAATTTTCAAGTGTTCTCTATGATCATGAAGGTAAATTGCAGAAGATGGAGAGCTGTTTTCTAAAGATTACCTTGACCTCGGAACATGGGTTTGCCAATTGGTTGTGTTCCACTTTTGATTTGTTGTACCGCTCAATTATTGTCTTCATGCTGGTAAAAGTAGCATTAAATTGTGTCAGATGTGTTATGTAGCATGTAAACATTTAGTTTTCAAGATTTATTACATATTGTCATGCATTTGTTGCAAGAACATATTATGATAAAAAATAGACATTTTGAAGTAGCTACATAATTTTTTAATAGTTACTGATATTTCTAGGTTTACATTATGCTGCACTTGCTTATGAGAACCAATGTTTTAACATTGTTTCAAGTTGCAACTACCCAACTTTGTCCGACAGGGAAACTGAGAGTGCAAATGAACATGTATCTCAAGGATACATGTTTTCTTCTCCTCTCATTCTTTTTTCTTCCTCTTAGACACTTGTGAAGTTATGAGAAATTAACTAGTCCAATGACTCGAAATCAAATATGATACTAATGAGAGAAATTTATAATGTGAAAGCTGTGGGGCCATTCTTGGTGCAATGGTAAAACGTCGTACTGTCAATCACAAGAAGCAAGTTTGAGTCTGACAGGATCAACTTTCTGCAAAAGTGTTAAATCTAGCCAATTTATCCATTCAAACACCCCATTTTGCTAGACTAGCATGGAGTAATGGAAATATATGAGCTGCACTTGTTGAAGAGTAACATATGTTGTTACATTCTTTCTTATGTTCCCCTTAGCACATAATTATTAACTTCTTTGTGTCACTTGTAGTAGGGACATTTTCTTAAGACAGTCAAATCTTAGTAGTACCTACTTAACAGAATTATTGGAAGTTGAATTGATTTTCACAATGATTCATTGTTGCTTTGCACATTGAACAAATTTTAGTAGGCTCTGCTATATCGAAGACGGTTCATCATGTGTTACAATTCTTCTAAAAACAATTGGCTATATTTTGCAATTCTAGCTAATTTTATGATAACTTAATCCCTTAAAGGTATTTCTTTATAAGCCACATGGTCATTGGGTCATTACTATTCTTTTTATTTATAAATTTAATAAAAAATCAATATCAAGATCTACATGATTTTACATATGCAATATGGCGGTAAAAAGATGTGGATCATTATGTCTTTTTGCCTATATCAATCAGGTTAGTGCAAGGAAAATGTGTGTACACAGGTCCTTGATTTAGGAGTAAAGAAGGAAGCCACGTGGTCATGATTTTCCTTTCCTTAAAACTGGTTTCCTTGCCGATTGAGAGTACTTAAATTAAACTGCCCTATAAAGGGTTAGATGTTAGAGCTAAGTGCATCTAATAGCCCTACGGAGAATAAATGGAAGGCATGTCTTTGAACAAATAAGGTAAGGAAAGGCAAGGCTACCTTTCATAAAGAAGAGGAGCTGTCCTGTGTCTGGATAACTTACTGGTGAGAAATGTCTTAGGACAAAGAATGCTATTACAATTAAGTCATAAAATGCTTGGGGTTGGTAAATTTCGTATTGATGGACGAAGAATGTTTCCCTAGTGAGTATTGAGTACTAAAGAATACTAGTTCCTTTTTACGTGAAACAAAGAACATAAACATATATAACTGTATTGATTAGGGGCTAAGGAGAGATTGCAGTTGGTGATCCTTTGTAGGACGACCTGGAAATGTTCAAGAGAAAAAACACTGGCAAGTGTTGGAAAGTTAAATTACTAAAGCCATTTCCATGCTAAGATGCCTATGACAAGTATGAGCTGCACAAAGAACTTGCACCATATTTTGATTATAGACTGCCATAAGCATGTGTGATGGAGGTACTGAATGAGATTTGCTTAGGACTATATTTTGAGTATATAGGGCTTAGTTTAATGAATTTTATTAGACTTTTGGATAGTTGAATTGTCTAAAAGGATTTCCATGCCTCTGTCCTTGGCAGATTCTGTGTTTTTTCTTCATCCAATAATGCTTTGGTAACCAAACTTGGGTACTGAATTTTGTATATCATCTGATGTGTCACCAACATGTTGGTATGGGCTCCACTGTTCATATCTTATACACATATATTTGTGACACATCATATGCATCCAACAGTTGGCGTACAAATTTGGTCACTATAGCACTACTGCTTTTCACATTCTTTCATTACTCCTCTCTGTACTTCCCATTCTCTGCTTCTTCTCTGTCTCCATTTCTACTTTTTCTTCCTTAATACTTCTTTACTTCAATGTGTGCATCAAGTTTGGTACAGATACCAATGCCACTCTGAAAATTAAGAACAAATTTCACTCCTTTGATCCTGATTTGTTTTAAGGGGTATCACTGCCTTTGCTCTCTGGAGTAGAATTCTCCTCAGCTAGGGAGAATTGATGGAGATCCTAATGGAGGCAACAAACAAGAGTTTTGAGTTATTTAGGAGTTTAAATTTGTTTAGGACTTTAATCTGAGTATATTTATTTATTTTTATTTTTAGCGTATATATAGGGCTTAGGTTAACGAATTTTATTAGATTTTTGGATAATTGAATTGATTAAGCATCTTCATACCTCTCTCTACTCGGCAGATTCTCTGTTTTTTCTTTCTTTTCTTACTCTCTCCCTCCTTATCCCAACAGGTTCCACATCGATATGTAGTGCTTGAAATGATGATCTCATGAGGTAGTTGTTATAAACAAAAATGGGGAGAAATAAATTCTAATATAAGTATTTGAAAATTACTGGGTGGGATACTGACTGTTGAATTTCTGGTTAAAATTGGTTTAAACCAAGATTGGACCTTGAACTCCTCTTTCATGTTTATTGTGGATAAAATAACCCTATGCTAAATTAGGTTTTGTTTCAATGTTATAGGTACTTTGGGAATAATAGATTACAAATTCAGAAAAGAATGTTGACAGGAATAAGGGGAAGAATTTCTGGAAGCTGATACCAAAAATCTCTGAAAATTCTAGGAATAATCTCAAAGAAGTCTTGTGAAGTATCCAGGAAAATGGTTGGATTCTAAATATTGTGGGGCTGAAATGTTCCATATTTTTTTTTTCAGTTTTCAATGCCAATATTCTCAGTTGGTCAGGTGTTTGAACTAGATGTACCATAGGTGGGTTAGTAAGGGTAAAGATCTGTGGCCTGTGAAGGAGATAATTCAAAGTAGAAGAAACCTTCATCATGCTCATGTGGCTATGTAAATCTATTTTTAACCGTTCTTTTTGTACCTTGTAAAACCAATGAAGTAGCACCTTCCATTGTGTTTGCCTATATGTTGAGAAAGCTATAAGTCCTGAGAAAGGGATGACTTGGTAAAGAGTGGTAGCTTGGAAAGAAGATACTTTGAAATATCACTCTTCATGATGTAGCCCTGTTTGGTGCAGCTTATGGAGCTGCTTATATTCTTTTATTATTATTAGTTTGGGAATCTGTATCAGATTGTTCGATACATCTTATGCTTACAAATTAAGAGGCAAAAAATAGTTTAAATAAGCTGAAAAACTGATTATTGAGAAGCAGAGGGAGAGATGTTTTTAGCTTATACTTTCTGATTATCAGCTTTCAGCTTGTAATCAATATAGTTTGTTGTCTCATCAAAATTTAAATGAAACATTCTTATATATTTTATATAGCTTAATATTTTAATTTAAAACTTGTTTTCTTCTTTGTATGCAATAAAAATAATTAAATTTTGGGACAATTACAAACACACCCAACAAAAAAAAAAAAGAAAAAAATTAAAATACAGTTTATTGTCTTTTTGGACTCTTACTCGTAATAGTTGAATTGAACCATAAATCTTTGGTGTTATATTTATCTTACTTTCTGATGCAACTTTGAAAGCATATAATGTATTCTACCAACAGGTATGTGATATTCACTGCATTCTAATTATGTGGTCATAAGTTGCTCGGTGATTTTCCCAAGCTCTTCTTCCGGCATCTTTCCTCATGTTCGATCATATCGTAAGTCTAGTGATGAGGTCTTCAAGGCATAAAATGGAATCTATCAACAGATACAGGGGCTTTCTGCAACCTAAATATTGGTGATATGAAGTTGCAAGGTACTGCCTGCAAGGTTTGACCTATATTATTTATGTTTTCTCACTTGTCTCCTTTGGTAATGAAGTAATATTTTATTTTGATGATTGGAGCGAATTGGGAGTATTGAAAAACGCATTGTTCACACTTAAAAGGTGTAGAAAACTAATGGAATGGCTTAAACATTAACAAAACCTATTAAATGTTTAATTAGGATTTATTCTTGTTGGTTCCCAAGTGATGGTTCAATTAAAAGTTGGTCTTCCTCATCACTTACTACATGTTCCTTCTAATAGATTCATCCATTTAAGGTTTTAACATTAACAAAACCTATTAAATGTTTAATTAAGATTTATTCTTGATGGTTCCAAAGTGATGGTACAATTGAAAGTTGGTCTTCCTCATCACTTACTAGATGTTCCTTCTAATAGATTCATCCATTTAAGGTCTGTCTTAGTCGCTCTCATGTGCTGATTGGATTTTGCCTAGTGATCATTTCCTGTTCACCCTACTTGCACTTTCAAAGTGGAACCAATCTTTCTCAAAATTGTCCGAGCCTATCTCTCCCAAGTCACTTTTTATTGCAGTGTTGTGCAGATCTGAGAAAGTAAGACTTAAAATTTGTAGTTTGCCTGTTTACTCACCTTTAGGCACTTAGGGGGCGTTTGTTTCATGGGATTGAGGCATGGGATCTCTATGTCCAACAGATTCATCAGTTCTTCATTTGGTTAGAAAATAGGTCGGATTAATAATCAAATACACATCGTTTCTAGCCAAATAGTTCAAGGACTAATCATCCTAGGACTAACAGTTAGTGTCATCTTTATAGAAAATTAAATTTCAGTTTGTAACATACAACTTGGATGAAATTGCAGTTAAACTTGTGATACATTTTTTATTTTATTTTATAAATTTTAAATTTGAATCTTCTATTTACATCTAAGATCAGCAAGGTATCTGTGCCTCTCTGAATCCAAAATAAAAAATGTTTTGGAAGCATAATTTTTATTGCATAAGAAGTTATGCATGTCTAAAACATAATGTAGTTATCTCTGTGGATAAGCCTTGTTAAATGATCAAATATTTCA